AAAATATGGGCGTGTGTGGTTGGAGGATGTGTGCGTGCGTGCGTGCACGCGTGCACGCGGGGGGGACATTTTTCTTGTAAAACAAAGGGGGGCCCAGCAAAAAAAGTTTGGGAACCACTGCTCTTAACCATGGTTAAGAGGAAGAAACACATGCAGCCATCATTGCATTGCATAAAAAGGCTGTTGTTGCTACTAAGATTGCACCTAAATCAACTATTTATCAGATCACAACTTCAAGGAAGGAGGTTCAATTGTTGTGTGCGCCAGGACCGTCTCCTAAAGATGATTCAGCTGTGGGATCAGACTACCACCAGTGCAGAGCTTGCTCAGGAATGGCAGCAGGCAGGTGTCAGTGCATCTGCATGCACAGTGAGGTGAAAACTTTGGGAAGATAGCCTGGTGTGAAGAAAGGTAGCAAAGAAGCCACTTCTCTCCAAAAAAAAAAAACCAGAGACAGACTGATATTCTCCAAAAAGTACCGTGAGTGGACAGCTGAGAACTGGAGTAAAGTCATTTTCTGTGATGAAGCCCCGTTCTGATTGTTTGGGGCATCTGTAAAAAGGATTGTCCAGAGAAGAAATGGTGAGCGCTACCATCAGTCCTGTCTCATGCCAACAGTAAAGCATCCTGAGACCATTCATGTGAGGGCTCACAGAGCCATGAATAAAGAATGGTACCAAAACATCCTCCGACAGCAACTTCTTCCAACTATCCAACAACAGTTTGGTGAAGAACAATGCATTTTCCAGCATGATGGAGCACCGTGCCATAAGGCCGAAGTGATAACTAAGTGGTTCGGGGAATAAAACACTGAAACTTTGGGTCCATGGCCAATAAACTCCCCAGACCTAAATTCAATTGAGAACTTGTGGTCAATCCTCAAGAGGCAAGTGGACAAACAAAACCCCAAAATTCTGACAAAATTCAAGCATTGTTATGAAAGAATGGGTTACTATCAGTCAGGATTTGGCCCAGAAGCTGATTCACAACATGCCAGGGTGAATTGCAGAGGTCTTGAAAATGAATAAACAACATAGAAAGTACTGACTCTTTGAATAAACTTGATGTAATTGTCAATAAAAGCAAATGAAAATTATGAAGTGCTTGTAATTCGACTTCAATACATCACAGAAACAACTGACACAAAGATCCAAAACCACGGATTCAGCAAACTTTGTGAAAACCAATATTTGTGTCAACTTTTGGCCGTGACTGTAGTTTCTGTCCACCACAAGACAGAGGAGCACATCACAGGCCGAAACCCTGCAGGCGTCAAAGCAGGAGGTGTTTCACTCCTGTTTTGCACCTGGAGACGGTTTATACTGCAATCTGCAACAAACACGCTAAACATAACAAATCTCTCACATCTTAAAATTGACTGTTGATATCGTTCGATCTCTCTCTCGCTGCCGTCACTCCCGAAACTTTCCTTCTTCCTAAATAACCAAATTCCAGATGTTTCCATCTCATGTTTTTTTATTGGTTGACATGGTGCATTTTTCAACCAACAGGAAAGTGGTGGCATTTTGCGCTGTCCTTAGAAAATAGTCCTAGAGCTTTTTTGTAAACTTTGTAATATATTCTATTATTTACAGTGGGGCAAAAAAGTATTTAGTCAGCCACCGATTGTGCAAGTTCCCCCACTTAAAATGATGAC